TGTTTATTTGATGCCAGATCACCAGATTCAATTCATTAACATAAAATGTTAGGATCTTTGGAAAGTGCTTGTTGGGATCCAATTAAAGGATATTAAATAGCTTATTCTACTGAAGATGGAAATTTAATATTATTAGATGCTAGAAAAATAGGTGAATAACCATTAGCTAATTTTAATGTAAATAAAAAGGCACTTAGTAGTGTACATATGAGTTCAGGAGTTCCAGGTTTATTGGCTACTACTTGTTTAGATGGAAAGATTAGAGTTTTTGATACAGATGCTCCTATAAAGAATGGTTAATTATAATTGATAAGTTCATATAATCCAAAATTAGTAAGAAAATTAAATAATTAATTTAGGAATCACTTTATTGTGGTTAATTTTATTAAGATTCTCCATGGACTTATGGATGTGGATCAAGTTAAGGTGAATTATTTGTTTGGGATATGCAAGAAAGTTAATAGATTGTTAATCACTTCAGTAATAGAGTTGCACCAGAATAAAGACCTAAAGTTGAAGATGTATATTATATTATTAATTTAAATAGTGCACTTCAAAAAATACAGATGATCTATGTATGAAAGAAAGAGAAGAAATATAAAAAATGGAATAAGAAGATAAAGAGGATATAGAAGAAGGTGGATTATAAGAGGAGGAAGATAATTGATTGTTTATTATATGTTGTATTTTAGATACTGTATTGCAATAGTTATTCAATCTTATTATCCATTATTTTATTATTATTAATGAGTCTATTCATTCAATTCTGGTTCTTTCATCAATCTTACTATATTTTTTACACAAGTTCCAACTACTTTACCATCAGCTGTAGTATCTCTATATAATAATATAGTCAAATTATCTATTGTTGCTCCATAAACTGTTGAAAACATCACAGATATCTAAATTTATATGTATTAATATTTACAAAATATGAAAAAATGAATGAAATTAAAAGGAAATATACTGGTTAATGAATTCCTATAGTTGTACTTGTAGTAATTATTAATATGTATGTTAATGATACACATAAATTAGCAACAGCAAAACAATAAGTAACTGATAATTATTCTCCATGATATTGAACTTTAGTTGTTTCTTTCAATTTTTAATCAAAAACATATTAAGATTTAGCACTCATTAAGAATTCATCATTTCTTAAATAAGCCAATAAATAGGCTCTTTCATTTATACACAATATCTATGTTAATTTAGAAGGAATTTCAAAATTAGCATCCCTCTTCTATCTAATCCACACATAAATCCTTATGAATAATCTTGGAATCATCAATAAAAAGATAAGTGCCTCTCCAAAAACTACTGAGCCAAAATTATTAAAAGCATAAATTTCAAAAATATCCATTAATGATAATTCTGAATCATGAGAATCTATTTTCTATCTTTAAATTCCCATACGTTTATACACTTCAATTACTTTTCCTATTAATAGTATCTATTCACTTCCTATAATAGCTAATGTCACTATTATCAATTCAAAAATATGAATAGATCCCATAATAAATGTTGTCCAACTCAATTAAAAAGTATTAAAGGCATAATATCCTTATTCTGCCTTTCCTATTGAAAATAGATTACTATTAAAATATAATTAATTTATATTACGTTGCCATCCAAACCCAAAATCCACAGAAAATTAATAAAAAACCTGCACTACCCATTAATAATATCAAAATTTCTCTAAATCTAGATGGTTAATCCTCTTATTGTTATATTCCAGAAGATGAAAAGTCAAAAAAATAATTAACAATTTAAATCTTTATTCCAATTGTTTTATATGTCTTACGATTCAATATTAAATCTATTAAAAAATAAGCACCAAATAAAAGGAAAAAGATACTAGAAATTAAAATAATAGTTATATTTGATTCTTCTACTTAAATAATACCTATTGCCTATTCTCCTGTCAATTTAGTACCATTAGCTAAATGAGCATATTAAGATTATTTTAAATAATAAAATAGACCTAATAAACCTGATAAAAATAGACCAAATATTGATGTGATTGAAATCACCCATATAGCAGTCTATTATAATTTGATCATCAAAAAATAGAATAATTAACTAAATTAATTATTAAATCTTACTTTAATAATAAACAAAGTGTCAGAGTTGCAAATATCATAATCTTTCCATTACTAATATCTGATAAAAAGCTGATAATTCCAGATTATTCTAATCCTTCTTGAATGTTATTGAAATAACTAATTTTTTTAGGAAGACAAATATCAATAAATGGTACAGAATCATAATATAACATTGTATAAGTTGGATCATCAATAGATGGTCTATTTCTGCACGAATTGATTACTTAATTTGGATAGCATTCTAATTCCAGCGATTCTAAAGTATTAATAAAAAATAGAACCATCTGATTCATTATCTACATTTAAAATTGGACATTCTTTAACACACACTGTTCTTTCTAAATGTTTTGAATCCGTTGGATTTGTAAAGTATATATATTTATATGATTCCAACCCTACATGCACTCCACATACATTCTCTAAAAACTTATAAAAACTATTAATATACAATTTGTATCATATGGTTTTCCTAATTAATCAGGATTACCAAATCCAAAACTAATTATCGCAATCAAATAAACTAATCCTTAAAACAATAGAAAATATAGTCCATATTTCTTATCTTACAATTCTTTATGAGCCTTGTGTTCTTCTTCAGCTTCCTTCAAATCTTACTTTATATAAGAACCAGGGTAGTTGTTTTATTTTGACAAGATTGTTTAATCCATTATTCAAAATAATATATTATTTATATTATTATTCGTTAACAATATCAATAATCACTAAAACATGCCCAAAAATAATTAATATTATTAAATCAAGTAAAATAATACTACTAATCAATAAAACAAAATAATTGATTGATATTTATTTTTTAGATTGTAAACTTATTTCAACATTTTGATATTTTACATTGAAAATATAATATAATATTTTCTTTAGAATATCAAATAGATATTGATTTACAAACCAACTAAAATGATAAACAAGTATTTTAAATTCAAGAAATAATTGATTAAGAATTTCCAATAATAATTATTTATTTTAAGAGCTATTAATTGAATTATAATGATTTTTATTAAATATATTCTAACCAAAACAAAATGTAATTTGATAAGATATTTTTTGTTAAGTTTTTGGATTGGTTTGAAATAGAAATCTCAGAAATTAAAATATTTTTGTAATTGAAATTGATAGGAATAAACAATCTTTATTTTAATATGTATTTAAAAATGATAATATTATTAATCTTAATTCATTGTGATACACTATATATACAATTATTATTATTAATATATTTAGTAATATATAAATTTAAAATATTGATCAATAGAATTTATTTGTTATGATATACAAATATAATCATCCTCTAAGTTTTTTATCTTCTGATAATTATTTAAAAACCCCAAATAAAATTAAACATCCTCCAATAAAACCATTTAAACTTAATATTTTTCTAAAGAGTACATAATCTATTATAATCACATATAATGTTTAAGAATATGTATAATTACATATCTTATCATATGTGACCATTGTTTAGGCTCTAAATTAAAGCATTTATCCAAAAAGAGTAAATACTGCAAAACCAAATATATAAAACCAGTATCCTGTAAAATATTCAAATCTACCAATATATTATTGCCATAGACTTGAACTTATGATGATCATAATATGGAAATATGAAGTTACAATTGTTGCTGATACTTCAGATCCTATTTATTTCATTGTTATATAAGAAAATGATTAGACTATACTACAAAGCAATATACTAAAGCATCCAATTATATGCATAAAAGGATCCTCAACATTAACTGTAGGATTTGACACTAAACCTATTCCTACAATACAAATTATTGAGTTTATTAATCTTGACTTAGTTATATGTTCTCTTTTCATACAACTAACAATTAATTAACTCCAAATTGAATTTGTGGAAAATAAGATTGCTGCTTCAGATAAAGAAATAAAACTTAATCCAAAAAAGTATATAGAGGATCCAATAGCTCCTAGAAGCTATGATTTTATTAAATACTGTGTTTTACCCTTAGGATAATAATTCTGTTATTACTGAAATAGAAAAATAAGAATTAAGGAGGAAATTGATCTAATAAATAAACTTTATGGAACTATGTCGAAATGACCATATTTAAAAAATGTAATTTACACAGCATGAAAAAAATAAGCAACTAGCATGTAAATAATAGCAGCTCTTAAAGTATTTTTATCTTCCATTTCTTTTAAGTATCTAGAGATTTTGGATATGAACATAGTTTGATAAATTAAAAAATATTCTTTTATAAATCATTCCAATTCTTGATAATAAATATATTTTACCGGAAACGTGTAATTAAATATCTACATACAAAAAAATATAAAAATTCAATAATTTCCTATTTCTTAACTCAAGTGTTAATATTTTATTTTTGAAGTACTATAATTGAATAAATAATAATTAATTCAGTTATTAAAATAAACCTATTAATTTAATTTTCAATTATTATTATCTTATTACAATAAATATCTATAGATAATATTTCCCTAATTTATTAGAATATTAATTATTTTACTCAATTCATAAATAAACTTAAATACTAAATAATCTTTTAGTTTTAACAGAAGTTTTATTTTTATTTATTAAAATTTAATTATCCAATTTAATTGAATATTTATTTATTTCTTTCTATATATATATATATGACTTCCACCAAATATTAAGCTAGTACTTTTCTTAATTATTCCATCACTATTAATCTTTATCATAATATATTTAAATTCATTTTAAGAATGACACTATTACCATATGATTGCTAGATCTTATAATTTATGTGATTTATTTTTGTGTTATTAAAATAATTTTGATTCTTTAAATTTCTTATTATTTTTTAAATATGAGAGATATGATATTAGACAAAGCTAATAATAAAATTTTTAGAATATAAAAACATTTATGAAAAATATATAATAGAAATATATCTTTATTAATATATATATAAGGTTCTGTCTTAAATACAATTATTATAATGATTTTGTAACAGCAAATATATATAATAATTTAAGATAGTTTATTGTATTTTTAATAATAAAGGAACCAATGCCATTCATAATTCGAAATCATATATTGGAACATTAAGATTTGAATATTTTAGCTTCTTAAATTAAAGACTTTAAAATTCAGGAACATTCATAAATGATTCCAATCTAAAATATAGATAAATTAAATTACTTTTCTTTCAGATAAGTATAAATTTAAAGTCTACTAAATTCAATAGCCCTTTCATCATTTACTATTACTTATTCTTAAAAGGCATATTAGAATAAACTGTCTACGACTTATCTTTCCCCTTCCTGAATCAATGGTTATTCTCCATCATAAATATCAATTGTTTTAGGATCAAAATCCCATTTTCCAACAGGTTTAGCAGGCTCAACGGATTCTTATTATAGTTCTGTGGTCTATTATTCTGATGTTTATTATGGATCTGGATTAACTTGATCTTATTATTACTCTGGTTATTCTTCAACAAAATAAGGAACAAGAAGATTGACTACTGCAGTAACATTCTCAAGTTACTATTGTGGTTATTTGAATATGAGATTAATTTTCTTTTTTGCTTCAACCATATCTAAATCATGTTATGTAATTTCAGGTTTTTGATATTCATCTTCTATTGGTTGTTATTCAATTTATTCTGTTTATTATTATTATTATTATTAATCTTCTGTTTATTAAGGAGGTGGTGGTTAATCATTTTATTATTATTATTAATCAGCTTCTTCTGTTTTAATTTTAACTTCTGTTTTTGCTTTAGGTTCTTTATAATTTACAGATTTAAAATATATATCAAAGAAACCATCCAATAATTTATTTAATATAATTTTTCTAATATTAGGAACATATTATTATGAAACATAAGATACCCAAAATGGTGTTTAATTTTTAATTTAATCTATAATACTTTATTTAGAATTCTTCTCAAAAATGTATAAATCTTCTTCCATCTTTGCAAATGCTTCTTAAATAATTTATTAAAGAGATTAATTCACAGTAATATTAAATGTATTACACTTATTCATTAAGATATCCATCCATATAGTTTAAATAATTGATTCATCTATTTAATCCAATTAATCTCCAGTAATTAAATCTAATCCTTCTGCTATTAAAAGAAATAGATCTAAATGTAAAACAACTCCCTTTTATCCTACTTCTGTTGTACCTTCCTAAATATTAGCTTAAAATATTGAATTAAGAGACTCTGCTTTAGAGAGTGTGAGATTATAAAATGCTCCTCTTTATATTTCTCTTTTTTCTTTTAATGCTCTTCTTCTTTTAATTTCAGCTTTTCTCTTTTTACGTTCTTCAATTTCAATTCTAATTCTTTCTCTTTCATCTAATATAGCTCTTCTTCTTTATTATTCTTGCTAATAAAAACTTTAATGTTATTATGTGATTGGTATTTCTACTTCATTTAAAAGATTATTGAAATTATCTAAACAATTTTAATTGTTTTCACAATTTTATTTTATTCTCTAAATTAACCATGGCAATGAATGAACCTTTAATTCCAATAAATAATCATTTTTTAATAATCCCAAATTTTCAAGATCTTTAAGAATTCTATAATTCACTCCCTTCACTACATTTTTAGATAGTGTTCTTGCAATAAATTTTTATTATGACAGTTTCATCTAATCCTAATATAATTTGTGTTACAAAACTCTTCTTTCCTAAGTTAATTATCATTATAATTATATACTCTTTCTTCTTTTCTTCTAACATAGGCTGCTTCCATTCTCTAAGTTACCATTAATTCAGCATTTCTTTTTTTTTCAAAGGCAGCTTTCTATATTTACAACTCTTCCCTTTCTAATTCTTCAATCAATTCCATTCTTGCCTATTCCACAGATTTGCCCACTAAAACTTATAAAACAGGCTCCACCTCTAAAATGTAATCAAACAAATCAGGTTCATATGATTCAATCTGTGTTTCCACATCTATTCCCTTAGGTAATGGCTTATATTCAGGAGTTGGCTTGACTATTAAGTTACACATACAGGTCGATCAATATAATAATCTGGTTTTATCTTTGATTCATCATCAGGAAGGTCTGTAAGATCTTCATATATATCTTAATCTCTGTATTTTGGGTGAGATACTTATGGCTCAGCTTCAAACTAATAAACATTGGCTTATGCTTGCATATTATTTAAATTAATAACTGATGCATATATATTATCATAAACAATCATTCCCTCTATTACTACTTTTAGACATCCTACTTAAAGATTAATCAACATTACTCAATCCTTTCATATTTCACAAATATATTATAATCAAAAATCCCATACCTTAAAATATTATAATTAATTTTTATCAAAACCAAATATTGTCTTTCATTTTTTTACTTTCTCTTCACTTTTTCAGTAGAATTTAAAAGAGAAATGATAAATTAAAATCTCATTTATAAAATGAATATTCAATTTGCTTTCTTTAACATTTAATTTTTTATCCTATTATAACAACTTACTTTGTGATTTCTTGTTATTTAATTATATGTTTAATTGGAATTTAATAATAATAATAATATACTTAGAATTTTTTTATCATAACTAATTTAATTCATTATTATATTCAAGAGTATTATAATAAATAGATTTTGATAATATTTGTAATTTATAATAGATTGAATGATATTATAAATGTAGTAAGTTTATTTGATATTTCAATAATTATTATTATAGTTTAAATATTATTATGGACCCTCCTTAATCTAGAAGACCTCCAATATTTGGTCCTCCAAGATAAAATAGATTTGAAACAAAGTGTAAATATTGCAAAAAATGTATTATTGAGAAAATTTTAAAGAATAGGATCCATAACTCCTTTAATGGCATGAAACTTAGTGTTAAAAGTAATAATAAGGTCCTCTTACTTAATTTGTTAATGTTGGAACCTAATTCATTAGAGGATTTAGTTAAGGTGTTTAAAGAAATGTAGAAAGATTAGGAAATGCTATCTCCAATGAGTTTAATTAAATTGAAAGGATTTTCAATAATCGACCAAATCCAGTAACGATAGATGTTTACTAAGAATAATTTAATAGATTATATTAAGAAGAAAGAGATAGATAAAGTATAGACTAACCTAAAAGTGAGCCTAACTTTATCGAATATAATTTTATAAATAAACGTAATTTAACTCCATCTGCTAAGATGTGTTGTATTTGTTAAGATGAATATATTGATAATGAGAAAATACTGATTCTATAATGTATGCATAGATATCATAAATAATGTTTAAGTGACTGGATCAAGAAAAAGCCAACTTGTCCAATTTGTAAAATGAATATATATCAATAATATTAACAATGAAATTAATATTTTTGTTCCTCTTAGCTAGTTGTTTAGTATTGGCTTAAGATAATATTAATACAAGTGGAGATGAAGCTTTAGAAAATATAAAGAAATTAGAAGAGTAAGAATCAGAGGCAATAAATTCAACTCAGGAATTGAATCCATAAGAAAATACTAATGAAATAAATAAAAAAGAAGAAGAGAAAGAATCTATAGATAGTGAAGAATTGGCAGATATTATTGAAGAAGCAGAAGAAAATATGTTTGAATTACTTGAAGCATTAAGACCATTATTTGGGGTAAATAATGCATTAAAATATATATTAGCTTAGATTTGGTGATTAAGATAGAGATAGTGATGGATAAGTAATTGATGATCAATCAGATTCAGAGAGTAATGATGATACACAAGAGAAACCTGCAATTTTAGTAGATCCTGTTGAGGATTTATTAAAAAAAGTTGATTAAGATCCTTTAATGCTTTAATGGGATTAATTAATGAATGATTTTGATCCTGAAGATTTACTTACATTTGAATTATAATCTGGAGCCACAGAAGTATAAATATATTAATAACTAATTATAGATTTTATGTGAAACAATTAAGAAGCCAACTACTATAAGAGGAGCATATTTTATTCCTTAATTTAGATTAGATTAAAAGATTGATTTCTATATTAAGACATCTAATAATACTTTATTGTATTCTAAAGAAAGAGTTCAAGAAGGAATCTTTAAAATAGATATTCCAGAAAAAGGAGAATATAAATTTATCTTTACAAATAAAAGAGTATTCTTTATTTTATTATTTTAGACTAAAGAACCATTAACAATAACTTTTGCAATTGATGTTCATGATTCTCATTAAGAATTCCTTAAATTAGGTGATTTGGATCCATTAGCTTTGAGAATAGAAAGATTATCAACAGCAATGAGAGTAAATTAAATTAATATTATTAAGGATAATTATTTTTATGATAAGATGGCTGCTTAATAATTTGAAGGAGGATTGAGAGAGGTTTAAAATGCTAATAATAAATTGTTGATATTCAGTTTAATAGAAGTCATAGGTATTATTGCTATTACAGGATGGTAAGTCTTTTATCTTAAAAGAATTTTGAGTAATTAGAGAATTATATGATTATATAATTGTTGTATTGAAACTTTTAAATATATATATATATATTATTATTAGTTGATCATTTTAATAATCAATTCTAATCTTTTTTAATAGATTACATTTTTTGATAATTGTTAATTTATTTATCTACATTATAATGAGGAAAATAATCATCATATGAATTGAATTTTTCAAATAATTCTAAAAAATTATTCTCTATAGATATTCTTCTATTATAATTATCTAATTATTCAATCCTATTATTAATCATTGTTTAATTCTTTCTTTAATCTCTATTTTTAATTTCTGATTAAATATCAGTTTGATATCGTTACAATTACTATACATCATCCATTTTTAATCTATTTTAATTAAGTCTTTTCTTAGTTTATAATACACTATCTTAAACTCTTTATAATGGATGATTATTATTAAATAAAGATCCTTATTATTCTTCTGTATAATCAAGTCTTTAAAATTTGGATTATCCTATTGGTTCTTTAATTTCATTAATAAAGATTTTTCTACTGCTAATACTGCTACTCACTCCTTATGAAGATATAAAATTATCAGAATCCATTCTCTTTGATTGTAAAGTTTAACCACTATGTGAATAATTTATGTATGGAACTGAACTTAATTCCAATTAATTTATGAAATTGTTATTGTTTTAACTTTGTAAAGAATTAGAAGATGCTAATACTTTTTAATATGATTCAACTTTATCATATTCTTCAGAATTTTAAGATTCGGAAGGATCCTATATTCGGATTTAGGGTTAAGCAATATACTTTCTCTTCTTTACGCGTACTTACTAATTAAATAATAAAAGATAGTTACTCTTCTAAAATCAATAATTCTATTTTAATCTTTATTTATGATATAATTATTAATAACTTAGGTTTTATTTGGCTTATAATTCACAACTGGACATTCAGTTATATCATGTTATTTAAAACAACTAAAACATTAAATATTTATTAAATGATATTGATTTTCAATTAAAAGTGTATCAATAAGCATTCTATATTTTTAGAATTCTTGAGGACATTATCTAATTAATTATTAAAATTGATTTTAATCTAAACTAGCTATTTTAGAATATCCAATACTTTAAAATTCTATTCCTTATAATTAATTCTTAAAAAAAGCGATATTATTAAAAATCTAAAATATATTTGAAATTTTAGTTAATTTGAATTCTTTTTAAGACAATTAACATTTTTAAACAATTCCAATTTATCCTTCTAAAAGAAAATGAAGACATTGTTTTTACTTAATTACTTTATTAGGTTTTAAAATATCTTCCTCTATAATATCACATATATTTAAAATAGTTTAATTAGAGAATGATTAATTAAAGATTGGAATACTCTATAATATTTTGAAGTATTTTTCTCTTTTCATTTGTTATTATAAATGTAATGGTAAAGATCTCATATCAAATTTGACAACTCTATTTTTTTATTAATAATTAATTATATTCTTTAAAGTCTTTGGAGTATAATTCATATATGAATCTAATGGAATTGTCTAATAATTTATTATCTACTTAATTTTTTACACATAGAATATCAATAAGAGAGTTCTAATCAAATATATAATAAAATAATAACGTTTTATTATATTAGGATTCTAAAATAACACAGCAAAAATATTTTGAATATAATTAATATAGTCTTGTTGTTATTCTGCAAACATATATATCAATGTTTAAGCAATCAATGTACTAAAATGAATCTATATTGTTATTTAAATAACAAAAAGCTAATCATATTAATTTAAATAACAATTCAAATTTTACATGTAATCAATTATTTTATATATTCTTATTAAATAAAACAAATAGAATATTTTCTAGTATTCTCCTAAATCTAATAAAAATGCAAAAAATGGTAATATTGTTATTACATCTGCAAACATATTAGCGATACAAAATTTATTAATTAAAATTTGATAAGCACAATCAAGTAATTAAAAAATAACCATTAAATAATGGAAAATATTATAATTACAAATTGTTAATTAATTACATCCCAATTCTATTAATAATATAGTGAAATAGAAGATTAAAAAGCAAATATAAACACTATAGATTACTTATTTTATGATAGAATCTTATTGAATTTGATTTAAAATTTATCGTTTTAAAGGTATGATATATACTGAAGATAAGTCATGGATGATTTTAAATTGCTATTTAGTTAATATTTGTTTTGAAATTAGGTTTGATTTTGAGAAATACAATAATCTTAATGATGGATGAAGGATATTTGATTTATTGAAATTAGATTTGTGATATAGTTATTCATAATCATTTGATTTTCTTATCACACTTAATTATTGTGAGTCCTCTTTATTACTTGGTTCTTCATTTATTAAAAGCAAATCTTTTTGATTATTAGGAGTTATTCTATCAGATGCTAACTATAAACTAATCTAAGTTAATGTAGGTGATTTTGGATGAGTAATTTTAAATTAATGACTGTCATTTTATAGTTTATGACTTTCTTAAGATGGATTACGTACTCTCATTTATTAAGAATTAATTTGAGTCATTATTTAAATGATTGGCTTACGAAATGAGTCTTCATTTGGAGGAGTTGTGGTTGAATTTTAAATCATTAATTATTTTATTGAATCATATTTATCCTTCTGTTTATTCAAGAATTTCTTAAATTAGTTTGAAAAATACATTTTAAACAATATTCATATTCTATAATTAAATGCGATAATCATATATCTCTTAACTCTTAATTAAAGTTTAGTTTAATAAAGAAAGTGTTCAGCAACAACTTAATAATATTTTATTAATACTATGTTTATAAAGAAACTTTGGTTGTTATCTTTTTTTATACATTTTATATAAGAACTAACATATAATATGAGTCTTACCAGATATATATTATAATTATATATGGAAAATTCAGTAAATTCAAATGATATATTATTTTAGATGTCTACTTAAGTAAGGAATATTCAATAATTTAATTTTTACTATAAGAAAACATTTTATTAAAGAACTGTTTCAAAAATTTGGAATATTTTAGGTATTATCAAACTTTAATATTTTAAATCAAAATTAATATATTTATAATAATATTAAAAGATGAGCATTTAGAAATATTTCCATAAATTATTAATAAGTATTTTAAAATAGTTTATTTTAAACAAATAAAATATTTATTATAGAGATCCATTATTTTAGAATTACTTATTATATTAAAAATTTATATAAGAATTAATACTATAATATTATCTGGTATTCGACGCCGATGTAACCATTAATTGAATTACATCGGGCTTTTTGAATCCATATTTATTTAGCACCTGTGAGAAATTATTTGAATGATCAAACAAACTCAAATATCAGCAACAAGTGCAATAATAATTGTAATGTTTTATTCGATTCTTTCATCTCAACAAGCAATCAAACTGCTAGTTAAGACACATAGAATCTTATAGTTTTGGTTTACCTGTGAAGTACGTGAGATGTATCATAACAATGTTCACGTTTGTAACACTTAAAACCTTAAATTAATTATTTTAATTAATAAAATAATATCTAATTTATTTGGTTATAAATGAAAGGGTATCAATCAAATTGTATTAAATATCATAATTAACTAATTCATATAAAAATTGAATTGAATATAATATTATTTACTTTCAAAAAATTCTTTTTTTAAAAAATTTATTATATTATTATCCAAATGTTTGTGTTTTCTCATATCTCTTTTCTTCCAAACTCTCATTTGGATTAGCTCTTTATCCTTCTGATGATCTCATAAGTCTAGAAGAAATGCCTCTTCCTGGGGATTTTGATTATGGTCTTTAATAACTTTTAGTGCTAGGTCTTTCAATAGAACTTGTGTTAGTAATATTGGATGTATTTTAGTAAATGTTCAATTTAGATTTAGCATATTATTAATTGTTTTGACTCAAATAATATGGAGATTTGTAAGTAGATGATACTTGAGTATATTATTAAATTTTAGATAGTTATGCTTTTTCAATAAAAGTTGTATTATTGATGCCTTTGACACTTGTCTTTCTAGAACTGACAGTCTGTTTTCTACAAGATGAAGGATTTGATAGGATATCTTTGTCTTAAGTTAAAAATGTCTGCTTTCTCATTTGTAGATGACATTAACAAGCACAACCAGTTGAACAATTTTACTAGATTTTTAATAAATCACAAATTTCTCCCATGACAGCACTAATATAAGGTTCATTGTATTTTTAATGTTCCATTTGATTCAATTTCATAAGAGTCTTTTATAATATAAAATTATTACTTCTTCAACAACCCTTTTGAATTATTGTTCATCTGCTTATTCATTCTTATAGAACTTAATTATTCTGCGTTATAAAATTTTGAGTAAAGAAGTAATCAATTTGTTATATTAACCTTCCAATTATCTAGTTGCAAATCCTGAATAGACAGACATTAAACAAAAAATGAAAAAAATTACAATATTTTATTATATTTCACTTTTATTTTGAAATGTTTCCTTTATTCTTCAGTAACAATTGAATAGTCTCAAATTTAAATGGAAAACCTATAATTTATATATTGAGTACATGGTTACTATTATTCTGTATTAGTTCTAGGTCGATTTTATGGAGTTTTATTTAAATGTAATTACTATTATTTTAGTTTTTAAGAATTGATATAAGATGAATCAGGAGATCTGTTATTTACTCTATAACTAATTGGAGTATGTGAATTTTATTTATCAATTCCATTCTATCTCTCAGTTCTACATACATCAGAAAGTAAGGATTTTAATTAACCACTGTTATTTGTAGGACTTTATTATTAAATAGGATTTGATCTGAAATTAGGATTATTCTTATGAGGCTACAATTAAATAGTCATGGTACTATTAATGAAATCTTAAGTTGAATTGATATTGCTATTACTAGTATTACAAGGATTAGAGTATTTCTTAAGATACATACTAAAATCTAATTATCCTTAATTTATATGATTATTTTATTAATTAGAAGGTGAGTAATCAGATCCTCTTTTCTAATTAATCATTTATTCAATCAAATCAGCTTAATTTTTAATTATATTTTTAATTTTAGATTACTATTATGTTTTTGGTGGAGATCTAGAATTCAAAAATTTAGTAATGAAATTATTAGTTAATTTAGGAGATTAATCTTATTTAATAATATTTTTATTATCATTATTAATTTGTATCTATAATATTTAATTTTATTTTTAAGTTTAAATACTTTCTTGATTAACAATACTTTATTTTTCAGAAATATTAGATAATATAGATTCTTCTTTTATTATATCTAAATTAATATTATAATGTTTATGATAACTAGTAATTAGATGACTAATATAAGGAGATTAAGTTGTTATATGACGACAAGCTATTTCAATAGATTTTAAGTGATATAACTCACTTAATTTAAATTCTTCAGTATCTATTTTATCTTCTTTCAAACCCATTTATTTAGCTTTTTCTAATTCTATAAATCTTAATTCAGTAGCTATAGTAAAATATGAAATAGAAAAATAGATTACTTTTTCTAAAATTTATCTTTTTGCTAATTCATAAATCATTTCACCAAATTGTGTAAAATCATCATAAATTTAAGGTGCCATATGCATTATAGATCCAATATTAAAATTCTTAATCCATTCTGCTATATTTTGAATTCCCAATAATGATCTATATTCTTCATTCTAAGATACTAATTTCAATTCTTTTCTTAAATGTTTTTCATTATTTTCTGGATTATTTCTCCAATAATATAATTACTTTTTAGCCTCTTTTAATAATTATTTTTCATTAACAGGAATTTTTTCAAGATCAACTTATTTTATCATATCCTTTAATATATCTTATGCTCCATCAATTACTAATCTACTAAATTCAATTTCATCCTTCATCCTATACTTTTGGCCTCTCTTCTATTTATGTTAATCTAATTATTATTATTCTTATTGATTGCTTCTAATTGAAATATTTGATTAAGAAGTAGTGGCAGTCCCTGAAGATCCATTACTCTGCAACCATTATTAACAGAATTAATTCGCTATCTTAAACAACTCTCTCATAATCGAGGCTGCTTTTTATGAATTGATAAGTGCTTTATTATGCCTATCAATTATTCTTTTTCAATTACTTTCCCATTTGGCTTAAAATTGCTGTATATTGTAAATAAGCTTTGGCTAAAAATGTTTATCTCTTCACTAATTATGCTTATTTTTCTTAAACACTAACAAAATTCTCTAAATCTTATTCATCCTCTTTAATTGCTAATTCCATATTATAGATAACACTATCTAAATATTTAGAACATTTATCTAAAACCCATTAACTTATAATAAAAACATACTTTTTACCATTAATAAGTACAAGCTTAATTATATAATATTATTATAATAAGGTTCCTGTCAATGACTTTACCACAACTTGCAGCAAACTATATTTATTAAAATCTATTATACTTCTAACATCTATTCAGATTATTATAATAATTTTAAAGCCTCCTTGTATTTCTATTATTTTATTTTAACAATTGACTATTCATTCAATTAATTGATCTGTTACATAAAAGAATCTAAAAATTATTGAGTTTTTTTGAAATACCTGAGTTCTTTAATAACTATTTTAGGTTTTATTGCTGAGTATATTATTCTAAATCTTCATCCTCTTCCTATTCATATGATTGATCCTCTACTACTTATTCTTCCATTAAGTTATTTGAAATTGTTTGTTAATTATTCATTTTATAAAATAATAATGGTCTAAAGTAGGTGATTTATTATTTTTAAATAATATAACATTGTATAATGCAATCACCATTTAGATTGTATTCAGCTTAAAAAACATTTACTTGTAGAAATATGGATACTAAAGCCTCTTTTTTCATTTCCAAAAGTATGTTCATTATATAATATAAGAAACCAAATAATCAAAAAAATAACAAGAAATTGATAATCTAAATGAATAATTAATATAAGTAAAGCAATCCAATAATCAACTATTAGAAGAGAATAAATAATTAAAATAGTAAATATTACATATAGAAGTTTTAATATATTCTTATATAGAAATAATTAAATAAATAAGAAAAGTTACTCATTTTGAATAAACAAAATAAAGCTGATTCTAAATAGAATGAATTAGATTAATAAATAAGAATGAAAACAGAAGAAGTATAATAAGTTCTTAATCAAGACATGTTCCATAATTGCATATTAAAAATAAATCAAAGATTATAAAGCAAGAGAAATGTATAATTAATAGTAGATTGAAGAATTAAAAAGAGATACAAGAAGAACAAAACTTTAAGAATGTTAGGTTAAATATTATATCTATTCTTTAAGATAGAATGTAAAATTATTAAAGAAGAATATGATAAAATTAAATTTAAATATTAAGCATTAATTCATTAGATGTATATTTATTTATATTTACATTTATTTAGATAATTTAATCAAAAAGATTAATTATTGAAAGATAATATTAAAATTAGTTAAGAATTACTTATTTCTTAATAAAAGATTTTGGAATTAGAATTAAACAATAAGAAAATTTAATAAGAATTACATCATGCAGATTTTAAAAGAATTTAAACAGAAAAGTTAGTTTTTGAAAAGGAAAGAGAGTTACAATTACTATAATTTGAATATAGCAATCCCAAAAAAACAATCAATGATTTGAATAAATAATGGTAAATTAGATTAGAAAACTAAAAATTAATCTATTAATAATTAGAAGAAGAATTGAGATTACGAAATGATAAAATCAATCTTTTAGAAAAAACATTAAAGGAAGACAAAACTGCTTATTAACTTAAAGAGGCTTATTATAAAAGAGAAATTGATAGTTTGAATATACAAATAGGATAATTAAAAGAAACTATTTAACATATTGAAATATAGTAAATGGTTGAATAAAGTTCTGATGAATAAGAGTCTTAATCTGAAAAATCAGTAAAGTAAACTTCATAAACTTAATCAAAATAAAAAACTATAGTATTAAATAAAAAAAGGGTTTAAAAGGTTAGTTTAACTGAAGTAGAAACAATAGGGAAAGAAATAGCATTGAAATTCTAACTAGCTTAAATACCATTTTCAAGATTAGACTCTTATTTATATTCTAAATCCTCTAAAGGTATAATTAATTTAAGTGAAATCGATGAAATACTTAAATAATTTCCATTTGATTTACCTGATGATTAATCTTTATTAGTTGCAAGATTTCTTGCTGAACCAGAACAAGAAGAATGGATATATTATGATAGTAATTAAACAAATGATGTTGTAATTGTTATTAGTATCTTTCGTAATCTGATCAAACCTTTTGAATTACTCAACCCTTAATGTTATGATACAATACATCAAGAATTAAAATAGATTTTTAAACTTAATAAGAATAAATTAATTGATTATCTTATGTTAAATGGTGATACTTGTGATCTTAATTACTTTAAAAAGGCATTTGAATATTGTGATATATTATTAACATTAGAGTAAATTTGTATTTATTTTTTAGATAAGAAACTTACATTTCTATTAGAATGTATGAAAAATATAGGAGAATTATTAATTTAAAATATTAAGAAATTATTGATTACTTCAAATGATAATAATTAAATTCAAAATATTAAACAATTTATACATGTTTCTGATGAACTCTCTTTTCTTTTACTCTTTATTTCTTCTTATTTTAGTTTATTATGATATTTTCCTCTTTTTGTCTCATAATGATCATCATCTTCATCCATGTAATCTTAAGACACAGAAGTTAGATTTTATAAAGATTTAGTTCCTAAATATAATGATATATTTTAATTACTATTAATAATTTGACTTTAATCATTTTTTTATTTAATTATCTCACAAAGTTGATCTCGATATTCATCTATTAAATTAATGATATCAGAATAAGATGAAATTTATTATTGTATTTTAATAAATTTTGAATCATTTATTATATCACAGAATGATTAATACAATCTATTTAATCTTTCATTGTTAAATGATTTTAATTATTAAAACTATTATTATAGATTTTCCACTTCATTATGATAAATTTAATGTAATCTAAAAATGCAAATACCTTCAAACTCATTCCCATTGTACATAACATCATTTATTTCATTAAGTTCTGTAATTTAATTAAGTTTCAGAATTATTTTCTTTTGTAAAGTAGTTACACTCCTACTATTAATATAATCAAATACAAAATGCTTTCCTGTTAAATAAGCATATGACTCTTTTTTAACATCATGGATCCTTCAATCGTTGTAATGTCTAGAGCAATTTTAATATCCTACATTGTATTATTTATTTATTTAAGCTATTAATATTTATAGAGGTTACCTCAAGAATTTTATAGCAATAGTTCTTTATAATCTTTTCATCTACATTGTTAAATTGTTGTTTTATGAGATTAATTTTTTCCTAAATTTACTCTAACTCAATATATTACATCTATTTAATCCTTCAGATTTGGATAAATTGGTCTAGATTCCTTTTTGAATATTTGAACTTTATCGAACAATTATTCAATGTCTTATTTTATTTTAAGAAGCATGAGTAATTTAATAATAATAAATTATCTTTCATTTTTAATTAAGCATAACTTTAATAATAATACGAATTAATTTCCTTATTTCATAATAAAACAATATCTTTTTTTAAAATTTTCGTATTATCATAAATAATTGAACTATAAACTATTCACATATTATCTATATTATTTATCTTTGATATTCATTCCATTTCCCTATTTCTTAATTAAAAATTTATCAATTAGTTTTTCTCACATTTCTTAATATTTCTATTTAAACCTATTATCCTCAACAATATTTATAATTCCTTGTTCTTTTATTAAACTTAACAATTTTAAGTGAAACTAAAATAAATCAAAAGCATTTACAAAATAAATTTACATTCTATCTTAACTTAAAACTAAATGAATTCAGATTAATTTTTAGTTTTAATCTTAATTGATGATCCTTTCAAATTTAATAAGATTTTTTTTTTAATCATTTTTAATTACTTGTTTTATAATAAAGTTTTTGTATTAGTTTGTTCTTAATATTTGTAGATACTCTCTTTATGATTCTTAATCTTTGCTATTAATAGATTTAAACATCATTAATCTAATGAATATCTTTATATTATATTAACATAAAAATAAATAGAATTTTGAATACTTCAAATATTAATACAATTTGACTATTATTTACCAATCAATAAAGTATTTATTCAACATGATTTAAAATATTCATATTTAAAATTATTTAATTTCAATCTATTCCAACTTAATCAGAATAATAATTATAAAACTAAAGTTTATAATTAGGATTTGGTTTAGTATTCCAAATAATTAAGAATGTTTAATTTCTTTACTATTCTTCAGATTCTTAATTATTCTTTTCATCTGAATCCTCAATTTTATAGTCTTGTGATTAAAATGAAACCATTTTAAATGATTAATTAGCCATATATAGTATTTTATAAAATAAATAACTATGTCTACTCCAAGTTATTTTTCAATAAAAATACGATAATAATTATTAATATATATATATATAATGATATATAATTGATTGGATTAATTATTACAGAAATTATTATTAATTCCATATGAGTTGGAAAAAACTTCTTTCATTAAATCCAATTGAATTTATAGACTAATAATTAGCTATTTGCAAAGGAGAACTTCCAAAAGGTTTGAGAGGTTCATTGTATAGGAATACAGTATCAACAAAAAAGAGAAGAAATGGATATCCTGGACATTTATTTGATGGGGTTATTTATTTAAATTATATCTATTAGGATGGAGTGGTATTGAAGATAGAATTTAAAGAAGGAAGAGCTATTGCTACCTATAAATTTGTTTAAAGTGAAGGATTCATAAATGAATAATAAAGAGATGGTAGATATTTGTATTAATAATTAGAGTATATTTATGCTGGTTTGGGTAGAACTTATTCAGGAAATTTTTTGACTAAAATATTCAATTCTTTCTCATTTAAGAATCCTGCTAATACATCGGTATTACCTTTAAGAAATGGAGAACTTCTAGCTCTATGGGAAGGAGGATTACCAACAAATATAAAAAAAAATAATTTATCTACAATTGGATTAACTAATGGCAATAGTCTATAAAATTCTGATACATTTTCTGCTCATCCTAAAATAGATCCAAAATCAGGAATGATATATAATGTAGGATTAACTCATGGAATGAATTAAATGGTGAATGTTTATGAAATGAATTAAAGTGGTTAAATTTTGAGAAGAAATTCTACTTAAGTAAATGGAAGAAGATTTATGTTACATGATTTTATTTTAGCAGGTGATTATTTAATAGCAATTATGTATTCTTAATTTGTGACAGACTTTCATAAAATTCTATTGGGTAGAAAATCATTAGGATAAGATGTACTAAATGATGAATCTTAAGGAATACAAGTATTTGTATTTGATAAATCAAAAAATCTTTAATTAATTGCAAATAAGATTAATTATTTAAAATTTAATGTTTGGCATTATTCAAACGGCTATGTTGATTAAAGTGGTAATGTAGTGTCTTAAGCTATTACTTATCCTAATTATGAATTATATGAAAGCTTTTTCATTGAGAATCTACTTAAAAATGGACTAATAGATTCTAAATCTTCTTATGATCGATTGATAATAAATCCACTTACAGGAGAAATATTATAAAAATAACAAATATTAAATGACTATCTTGAATTTCCTGTTG